TTTCAAATGTTATAATATAAAACATGTAACGGGTATACCTTACAATCCCACTGGACAAGCAGTGATTGAAAGATCTAACTGAATCTTAAAAGAGATGCTTCATAACCAGCCAGGGAGAACAAAGACCCCTAAACACAGGTTACATAATGCTTTAGTAACGTTGAATTTTCTTTATCCTGATTAAAAAGGACAAACTGCAGCAGAAATACATTGGACTACAGAGAAGACTTCTGAGCTGAATCAACCGGTGTATTTTAAGGATGTTATGACCTCAGTCTGGAAACCAGGATATGTGTTACGTTGGGGAAGGGGTTATGCTTTTGTTTCCACAGGAGATGAAACATTTTGGATTCCATCAAAATTAATTAAGATTTGATCAGAACAGAAGACATCTCAGGAGGAAGAAGATAACAGCTCATCTACAAATTCATATCCTACCATGGGTAAAGTGACCTCCTAAAAGGAAAGAGAAGTGTTTTGATTTTTGTCTTCACAGGTAAACTCAGCAAAGAATACTGGACATATGGATTCCTGAAGAAGAATGAATATCTACCCTGAGGATCATCAAACAAACAATAACTCACTGTGTGGTAACAAAGTCTAAATCTCTCTATATTGTTTTTCATAGTACCCTTTTATCTTTGTTTCTTCATATCCTTCAGTCCCCATTCATTTAACTGAAGCTGTCTTTGGAATTGGATTGGCTCTCCTACTCTAAATTCAAGCATATTATTTAAGTAAAATTCAGAATTTTTGTATTATATCAAAGAGCCGTTGATATAAGACAGAAGAAAATAAAATTAGGTACTGTTATCTGTGTGTTTCTTTTTCTGAAAAGTCTAATTTACTTCATGTTTACCATCTTCCTTACTGTCATTTCTTCCAGTATGCATACATATAAAAGTTAAAATATTTATTTATTAACATTAATGTTTGAGTTTTCCAGGGAACAAGGGATTTCCTGACAGCAATCTTCAACTGCTTCATAAAGAGAATGAGGATCCACTTCCTTGACTCCACCTGATTCAACTGGATGCATCTGAACTGCCCCCTATCATCGACTCCACCTGATAAGCACCATCCTGAAACTGTCTTGAAACTACATCACTCTATACAACTCCGGACCAAGGAATTGAAATAGCACACCTTCTACAATCTGCTTAGAGCTTCAGACGAGAGCTTCAATCAACACTAGAACTCCAGTCAGGAACTTCAAACAAGCATCTCTTGCTATACAGAGACTGTCTGATCTACCGAAGATTTTGTTACACTAACATTTTTCTTCTCACAGGTCCCCATGAGATTGTCATCGTCCCATCTCAGTAGGAAGTAGTTTTGAGAATTCCATGCCTGCTCTCCCTATTATTGATATTATAGGATGGTTTACACCTGTTAGTGTTAGTTTTCAATTATTTTAGAGTTGGGATTGGAAAGAGGTATTCAGACTTGGGTGTTTCTTTCAGATAAATTTAGATTTAGATGGGATAGATGTTTGATACATTTTGTTCATTGACACAAGTTAGTTGTTTTAAGTTTAAATATCCTTTTTAGACTAAAAGGGGAATTGTAGGAGGAAACTGTGTGCCCATACAGATGAGATAATAAAAGAGCCATTTACCACGCCACTAACCACACCCACTTTAGGCATGACTAAAGACATGTACAGACGTAGGCGGTGAACTACATCACTAGCCAGGCCCACTTTTGGGCATTCCTAGGGACGTTACGGGGAAGGTATAAAAGACTGAACAACGGAAATCTATCTCTCTTTTTCTAGCTTTCGGCTTCCAGTTCGTTGGTGGAAAACTACTCAGCTCATCTGGGTTAATTGTTTGGTCTCTTGTGAGTAATTTCTACAATAAATACTTAGTTTTACTTTCAGTAAGTGTGCTGTTTATCATTGCAGAATCAGTGATGTTTCTCTGATTTATTTCTCAGCCCTTTTATCATCTGTATATAGTACGGCTACTGATTTTTTTGAGTTGATCTTATAGTCTGCCACTTTGCTGAAGGTGTTAATTAGCTGTAACAGTTCCCTGGTAGAGTTCTTTGGATCATTTATGTGAACTATCATATCATCTGCAAATAGTAAAAGTTTGACCTATTCCTTTCCAATTTGTATCCCTTGATCTACTTTTGTTGTCTTATGGCTCTGGCTAGAAATTCAAGTACAATATTGAAAAGGTATTGAGAGAGTGGAAAGCCTTGTCTTGTACCTGATTTTAGAGGAATTGTGTTGAGTTTCTGTCCATTTAGTTTGATGTTGGCTGTTGGTTTACTGTATATAGCTTTTATTATGTTTAAGTATGTTCCTGTTATCCCAGATCTCTCCAAGACCTTTATCATGAAGGGGTGTTGGATATTGTCAAAGGCCTTTTCAGCATTTAGTGAGATGATCATGTGATTTTTGTTTTTCAGCTTGTTTATATGGTGGATTACATTGATGGATTTTCATATGTTGAACCATCCCTGCATCCATGAGATGAAACCTACTTGATCATGGTGAATGATTGTTTTAATGTATTCTTGGATCCGATTTGCCAGTATTTTATTGAGTATTTTTGCATCAATGTTCATGAGCGATATTGGTCTGAAGTTATCTTTCTTAGTTGTGTCTTTGTGTCTTGGGGACCAAGGTTATTGAAGACTTGTAGAAAGAGTCTGGCAAAGACCCTTCTGATTCTGTTGCATGGAATATTTTGAGAAGTATTGGTATAAGCTGTTCTTTGAATTTCTGGTAGAATTCTGCACTGAGGCCATCTGGACCTGGGCTTTTATTGGTTAGTAGAGTTTTGATGACTGCTTATATTTACATAGGGATTATAGGTCTATTTAAATTGCTTATCTGTTCTTAATTTAATTTTGGCAAGTGATAGCTATCCAGGAAGACATCCATTTCCTTTAAATTTTCCTTTGTGGAGTGCAGGTTTTCAAAGTATGACCTGATGATTCTCTGGATTTCCTCAGAGTCAGTTGTTATGTTGCCCTTTTCATTTCTGATTTTGTTAATTTGCTTGTTCATGCTTTGCTGTTTGGTAAGTTTGGACAAAGGTTTGTCTATCTTGTTGATTTTCTCAAAGAACCAACTCTTTGTTTCATTGATTCTTTTAATTGTTTTCCTAGTTTCTACTTTATTTATTTCAGCCCTCAATTTGAGTATTTCCTGGCATCTACTCCTCCTGGGGTAGTTTGATTGTTTGTGTTCTAGAGATTTCAGCTGTGCTGTTAATTCTCTAGTATAACTATTCTCCAGTAGGCACTTAGTGCTATGAACTTTCCCCGTAGCACTGCTTTCAAAGTGTCCCATAGGTTTGGATATGTTTTGTCTTCATTCTCATTGAATTTAAGGAAGTCCTTAATTTCTTTCTTCTTTGACCCAGGAATGGTGCAGTTGTGCTTTATTCAATTTCCATGAGTTTGTAGGATTTCTGCATTTTGTGTTGTTGTTGAATTCTAATTTTAACGCATGGTGGTTTGATAATATGCATGGAGTTATTCCAAATTTTTTGTAGCTGAGAGGTTTTATATGTTGCCAAGTATGTGGTCAATTTTTGAGAGTGTTCCATGTGGTGGTGAGAAGAATGTATATTCTTTTTTATGTGGATGAAATGTTCTATAAATGTCTGTTAATCCCATTTGTTTCATAAATTCTATTAGACTGTTTGCTTTTTTGTCGAGTTTCTGTCTGGTATTCCTATGCAGTAGTGAGAGCAGTCTGTTGTAATCTCCCACTATAAGTGGGAATCAGTTTTCTTATTCAAGAAAAAAATTGGGGAGCCAAAAGTTTCAAGTCATTTTCAGCAGAATTGTAATGCACATCTTCTGTACATCCAAACACTCAAGCAAGATTATTGGGGGCAATTGCTTATCAATTCAATGGGGGAGATAATGAAAAATTTTAACATTGTTTCCCTGTTTGCCACCTGTAGGCAAGTTTAACCCTTCTCCTGTTTCACAATCATCCTCACAGCCTGAGTTCATAGCATTAGCTGGCAGAACATTGGGAAGGCATATTATAGATCTGGTGAAAACAAGTTAGATTCTGATAATGGACAATGTCTTACAATGTCCACGACATGTCATCTACTTTTATTTGCACAGGGCTATACCATTTCCCTCTGACATTAGTCCCTAATCACCATTGGAGGATGCATACCCACAAGGTTCTTAGTTGCATTAGCACCATATGCATAGGATCCCTTCACCTGTTCTCTTGGCCGATTCCTTATCACATGATTGATGGGGGTCTTTGAAGCTTTGAATGTTTTTCATGTATTTGAAATTCCATGCCACTTATGTGTGGTGAGTTGGTCTCCACAGGATGATGAGCCTTTGCATCTAGGCAAAGAGGGGAATGCCTGTCTAGATGCAAGCTGTGGAATTGCCTCATGTTGCCTGATGCCTGCATGGCAGGACAAATTCACTAATCCTAAAAATAGGAAAAGGTAACTGAGTTTGCTTTAATGATATGGCCATCAGTGCAGTAGAACACTCTGAGACACTTTCTGCCTTCTAACCCACAGAAAAATAACCTAGTGATCTTCCTGCAGTCCAGGGCCTGTATACTGTACATTCCTGAGCCTCATCTTTGCAACTTCAGAGCATGTAAACCTCCTGATATGAAACTCTTGTCCTGGCTTTCACAGTCAACATGGAAGGTAGATAGACACATGAGGCAGGGATTTCAAGATCACATTCACTTATCACTGAGCTGTGCAAGGGACAGAGCCTGATTGCTCTGACCCAATCCTTGTGTCCTACTTCCCCCAAAAGTCACTATTCTGTTTACAAATAGCTGTTACTTGGAATTCTACATGACAATGCAGATTGAATTATCATTTTTTTCTCATGGGCTTAGATCTTGAGGATCCCTAAAAGGAAGTGAGAGCACAAGTTCTGTGCTGCAAGTATCACAGGAATCCTAGGCAGTCATGCTTTTTAAAATTTTAAGGTAGAGATACAAAAGAGACGAAGGCACTTAACATGATCATGCCACTTACTTGTATAGCTCATGACTGGGGTGAATATTAGGCATGCTGAATCACTGAAATGCAGAAGAGAAGTGAATGACATGAGTAGAGTGCTTATGCCTGGTAGCCTTGATGTATATAGTGTGCCAAACAAGCAGGCTGAGTGCTTCCATAAAGAAGAGCACTTGGAACACACAAGATACCCCAGACAGGGAAACAATGCTGGGTGAATGAGAGCCTGTGTACTGCACTATAATAAAGGCCTGAGGAGACTAGGCCCATATTTCTCCCTCTGTCCTTTAGCCCGGGCCTCAGCGTAATCCAAGTGAGCATGATTTTTATGTCATCACCTCTCTTCATGACATTGGTTTGTCATCATAGACCCGGGTCCTCAGAAGTCATAGCTATACCTGATAGTGGGACACAAACAATGTTGCTTACCAGGATGACAAAGACCATCTATCAGTTAGATCTTGGAGAGCTTCAGACAAATAGTCAGCCAGCATAGACTCCTGCAAGGGATCAAACAGAATTAGATTTCTTAGTCAAGGAAAGTTTTTCCATGCCAAAATGGCAGATTACTGTCAGCAGAATTACAATGCCATACTTTGGAATGCCCAACCTCTCCAGCATGATAATTAGTGGCAATTTCAAATCAAGTCCATGAGGGAGACAATGAAACATTCTAATAGTGATTACCTGTTTGTCATCCTTAGATAAGTTTAAAGCTTCACTTTTTTCACCCTCATCGTCCCTAACTGTATTCATAGATTTTCTGACAGACCATTGTGAAGTTATATTATAGGTCTTTTGAAAACATTTTAGCATATGGGCATTCAGTATGTCATACAAAGTCCAAACTGTCATCTGGTGTTGTTTGCACAGTCCTATCCCATATCCCACTGAAATCAATACTTAATCACCATTGTAAGATGCATATCCTCATGGTTCTTTACTGCCCAGGCACAGCTTGCTTAGGATACCTACACCTGTAGTATTGGCCCATTCCTTATCACATATGCAATGCAAGGCATAGCAACTTGGGATGTCATGCATGTGGTTGAAATTCCATGCCACTGATGAATGGTGAGTGGGTCTCCATATAATGATTAGCCTGTGCATCTAGCCAAAGGGGGAATTCCTGGCCAGATGCACCCTGTTGAATTGCCTCATGTGGCATGATGCCTGCATGGAAGGACAAGTTCACTAATCCTAACAAAAGGAAAATATATTTGAGTTTGTCTAACTGATATGTATGTTTGTGCACTATAGCAATGTGCATCTCCGTTTGCTTTTTGAGACTGAGAAATGTAACTCAGTGATCTCCCTGCTGTTGAGGACCTGCATACTGGAAATTCATGAGCACCATTTTGCAATTTTGGATCATATCACCATCATGACACAAAAAGAACATGAAGTTTTTGCCCCAGCAGTAACATCAGCATGGAGGCTAGATAAACACCCTACACCAGGAATTTCAAAATCATATTTACCTATCACTGAGCTGTGGAAGGGACAGGACCTGTAAATCCTGACCCAATCCTGGAGTCCCATTTCACCGATCAGTCACTGATCTATTTCCCAATACCTAATATTTGTAATTCTACAAGAAAAGGCAGTTTGAAATACCATCCTTTTTTCATGTGAATAAGTCTAGAGGATTCCCAAAATGAAAGGAGAGCACAAGTTTTGTGCTGCAAGTATAACTGGATTCCTAGAAGGTCATGCTTTGTAATATTTGAAGGGAGATATCCAAAAGTGACGTAGACACTTAAGCTGTTCTTTCCACTTACCTGAAGGTGAAATGATTGGGGCACCAAGATTACATCCTGGATCACTGAAATGCAGAAGAGAAGAGATGGACTTTAGCAAAGTGCTGATGCTGGCCAACATTGACATGCATAGAGTTCCGCAACAATTGCCTTCTTTGGCAGGCTCAGTGATCACATAAAGAAGAGCAACTGGACCTCACAGTATTCCCCAAACAGGGAAGCGCATCTTGTTGAATGAGGATCTGTGTACTGGTCTAGGAGAACTGCCTTCAGAGACAAGGACCCATTTCTCACTAGTCCTTTCACCTTTGCTTCAGCATAATCCTTTTAATCATCATTTTTTTACGATGTTTTAAATTTTATTTTCCAGTTTAAATTTAGATAAGAAGCAAGGTTGCTTCACAAGTCAGTTCCAGGTCCCTCTCCCTTTCCCTCCCCTCCTCCCGTGCCCTCCCCCCCCCGGTTATCCCCTCATTTCCCCAGAGAGGGTTAGGCCTTCCATGGGGGTGTCCATAGTCTGTCATTTCATATAGGGCAGGGCCTAGACCCTTCCCCAAGAGTTCAGGTTGAGAGTGCACCTCACATTGTTCTATGGGAGTCCAAAGTCCGTGTGTATACTTGGGATGGGTACTGATCTGCTGCCCAAGGCTCAATATATTACCTAGGCCTCCTAACTGACACCCAGATTCAGGGGGTCTTGATCAGTCCCATGCTGATTCCCAGGCATCAGCTTAGGATTCAAGAGCTAACCCTTGTCAGGTCAGCTGTTTCTGGGGGTTAAACCAGCCCAGTCTTAATCCCTTTGATCATCAGTCCTCCCTCTCTGTTACTGGCTTTCTTGAGTTCAGCTCAGTACTTAACCGAGGGAGTCTGCCTCTTCTTCAATCAGCCACTAAATGAAGTTTCTGTTCCCCAGACTCTCTGGCCATAGGATTGTAGGCTGGGACTCCCCAGATCTATGTCTAAAATCCATATATGAGAGAGTACATACCATGTTTCTCTTTTTGTGACTGGGTTACCTCACTCAGGATGGTTTCTTCTAGTGTCATCCATTTGCCTGCGAATCTCATGATTCCATTGTTTTTTTCGGCTGAATAGTACTCCATTGTGTAAATGTACCACATTTTCTCTATCGACTCTTCGGTTGAGGAACATCTAGGTTGCTTCCAAGTTCTGGCTATTACAAATAAAGCTGCTATGAACATAGTGGAACAGACATCTTTGTTGTATGAATGGGCATCTTTTGGATATATACCTAAGAGTGGAGTTGCTGGGTCTTGTGGTAGGTCTATTCCCATTTTTCTGAGGAATCTCCATACTGATTTCCAAAGTGGCTGAACCAGTTGGCACTCCCACCAGCAATGGAGGAGTGTCCCCCTTTCACCACATCCTCTCCAGCATAAATTGTCATTGGTGTTTTTGATTTTTAGCCATTCTGACAGGAGTGAGATGGTATCTCAGAGTTGTTTTGATTTGCATTTCCCGGATGGCTAAGGATGTTGAGCACTTTCTCAAGTGCCTCTCAGCCATTTTAGACTTTATGTCATTACTTCCATTCGTATTGGCTTGTCACTATAGACCCGAGTCCTCAGAAGCCATAGATATACCTGATAGTGGGGGCATAAATAATGCTGCTTACTAGGATTACAAATTCCATGTAAGATTTAGGTCTTGGTGATGTTTAGTCAAATGGTCACGGGGCATTAGGCTCCTGCAAGTTATCAAGCAGAATCTGTTCTCTTGTTCAAATATAATTTTCCATTGCCAAAAATCATATCAGTGTCAGAAGAATTGCAATACCCAGTTTCTGAAGGTCCAAAATAACAACCATGATAATTGGGGGCATTTGATAATCAAATCCGTGGAAGAGATAGTGAAAAAAATTTAATGGTGGTTTACTTGTTGGCCACCCCTAGACAAGTCTAACCCTTCACTTGTTTCAACTTCACCCACATTGCCTGTCTTCAAAGCATTAGCTGACTGATCACTGGGAAGGCATATTATAGGCCTGTTGAAAGCATTTTAGCATCTGATCATGCACTGTGTCATAAAAGATCCAACCTGTCATCTGCTGTTCTTTGCACAGTGCTACACAATTTCCCTGTGTATTCACTGCCTAATAACTATAGTAAGATGGGTATGCTCAAAGTTCTTAATTTCCCAAGCACAGTAGACTTAGGATGCATATAGACTTTCTTTTGGCATATTCCTCATCAAATGAGCAAAGGAAGCCTTTTCTGCTTGGGATGCCATTCATGTGGTTGAAATTCCAGGCCGCTGATGTGTTGTGAGTGGTTGTCCACATGATGATGAGCCTGTGCATCTAGGCAAACCAGGGAATGACTGGCTAGATACACCCTATCAAATTTCCTCATGTGTCCGATGCCTGCAAGGCAGGGCATGTTCATTAAATTTGACAATAGAAAATCTATCTGAATTTGCCTAACTGATATGTTCATTAGTACACTAGAAATTTTTTGGGTGTCTGTCTGATTTATGAGCCCCAGAGGAGTAGCCATTTGATCTCCCTGCAGTTAATGGCCTGCAAAGTGGACATTCTTAAGTGCCATCTTTGAGAGTTTGGAGCATGACACCCTCTTGACACAGCAAGAACATGAAGTTCCTGCCCCGGCAGTAGTAATCAGCAAGCGAGTTAGAAAGACACCCCCAGGCAGGGATTTCAAGTTCACATTCAGCTATCACTGAGCTGTGCAAGGTTCAGGGCCTGAATATCCTGAACCAATTCTTGTTTCCCACCTCCTCCAACAGATCTGTTTCCAAATACCTACAACTTGGAATTCTACAAGACAAAGGAGTTTGAAATACCTCCCTTTAATCATTTTAGGCCAAGAGGACTCTCAAAAGGAAGGGAGTGCACAAGTTCTGTGCCTTAAGTATCACTGGATTCATAGAATGTCATGCTTTTTAATATTTGAAGGCAGAGATCTAAAAGATACTGTAGAACTTTACCTCATCTTTCCACTTACCTGAAGGTGAAATGACTGTGGCACCAAATCTGCATCCTTGATTACTGAAATGCAGATAGAAGAGATTGACATGAGCAGAATCCTGATGCAGGCCAGCATTGACATACATAGATTGGCCCAACAAGTGCCTTCTGAGGCAGGCTCAGTGCTCTCCCAACAAAGAGCACCAGGACTTCCCATGATTCCCAAAACCTGAAAACACTGCTGGGAGAATGAGTCCCTGTGTACTGGCCTATGGGAAAGGTCTGACTATACTTGGTCCTGATTTCTCCACTGTCTTTTAGGCTTGGCCTCAGCATAATCCTATTGAGCATGATTTTTATGTCATCACCTCTCTTCATGATATTGGTTTGTCAAAATCAACCTAGGCTGTCAGAAGACATAGCAATACCTGATAGTTGAAAACAAACAGTGCTGCTTACCAGGATACTAAGACCATCTTGCAGGTAGGTCTAGGTATGCTTCAGACAAATGGTCAGCTGGCATTAGGGTCCTGCAAGGGATAAAGCAGAATCGCGTCTTTAATCAAGACAAATTTTGGGGCATCAAAATTGGCATGTCAGGGTCAGCATAATTGTCTTGCCTACCTTTGAATGGCCAAAGCTCTAGAGCATGATACGTTGGCAATTGCTTATGAAAGTCAAGGGAGAGATAATGGAATATATTAATGGTGGTTACCTGTTTGCAACACCCACATATGTTTAACTCTTCACTTGCTTCACAATCATCCTCATTGCCTGTATTCATAGCATTAACTGAGGAACAATTCGGGAGACATGTTATAAGCCTGGTGAAAGCATTTCAGCTTTTGATCATGCACTGTGTCATACAAGGTCCAGGACCTGTCATCTGATGTTCCTTGCACTGTGCTATCCCATCTCCCTCTGAAAACACATCCTAATCACCACAGTAGGATGAGTACCCTCCACGTACTTAATTGCAAATCATTGCCTGCTTAGGATCACTACTCCCATTCGCTTTCACATTTCAAATGAGATGAGACAGCCTTTGCAGCTTGGGATGTCATACATTTAATTGAAATTCCATAATACTGATATTAGGTAAGTTTTGCTCCATATGATTATGAGCCTGTGCATCTGAGGCAAAGATGGGAATGCCTGGCCAGCTCCATTCACTTGAATTGCCTCATATACCCTGTGGACTGAATGGTAGGACAAGTTCATTAATCCTATGGAAATTAAATACAATCTGCGTTTGCATTACTATTATGTCCATTAGTGCACAGGAACACTATGTGTTTCCATCTGCCTTATGAGCCTGAGAAAAGTAATCTAATAAACCCCCCTGAGTTCATAGCCTGAATAATGGACATTGCCCAGGGAGAAAAGGAGCATAAGATGTTGCTAGCTTGTCTGATCATGAGACTCCTGAGGTTCACATTATATACCAATTTTCTGAAGAAGTACAGTGAAATGTTACGTCATGCTTTAAAGATTAAGTGCAGGTTTGAGTGTTTGTCTGTACAAAGTATACTTAGAGTAACCCCTTTAACAGGTAAACATAATAAATCATGAAAACTCTGAGAGATATGGTGAGAGTTCACAGACATATAAATCAGAACATTGTGAATATTAAACTTTATTCTGTTTCTTTGGAATATTAATACCAAATGTGTTCCTGTGTATTCCTTTGAATTCAGGAACAGGAGCAGATGAGTAGGAATGGGGACTTGTAACTGAGAATTAAGAAAGACGAGAAATCATTGGAGGCATTAAGATTTAAGATAGCATGCATACCTTGGAAATGAAATGTTATGATTGAGATGGTTAAAAGAGATATTAGCAGATGCCATTCAAACAGCTGGGGTCTTTTCAATGAAGAAGCACAGAAGGACCAATAATATTTGATGACTACATCAGTGGCTTCACAAGAAATTCCACTCTTTGTGACCTAGAATGCTAGTGGAAATAATGGGATAAATATATCCAGGATAGCCACAACAACCATATACAATAAAGGAATTTCATGAGGCATCACCATCCCTAACTTCAAGCTCTATTACAGAGCTATAGTTTTGAAAACATCATGGTATTAGCAGAAAAATATACAGGTAGAATATTGTAATTGAATTGAACACCCTGAGATTAATCCAGAAACCTATAATCACTTGATTTTTGATAAAGAAGCTAAAGTTATACAATGGAAATCATAAACCATCTTCAACAAATGATACTGGCATAACTGTATATAGGCATGCAGAAGTCTGCAGATAGATCCATGTGTATCACCTTGCACAAAACTTAAGTCCAAAAGGATCAAAGATGTAAAATTAATCCAACCACACTGACACTCTTTGAAGAGAAACTGGGAGATACTCTTCAATGAATTCATATAGGAGAGAACTTCCTGAATATAACACAGTACTACAATTTATGCTGGAGAGCAT